CCGGATATAACTATATAGTGAAGACAAGTTGAAGCCTGGGGCCACAAATTCCATAGGAACGTCACCAATCAATTTGAAATTGACGGCACACTTGCACTCGAGTATATTTGCACCCGTAGTCTGCACCCAGGTCATTTTGCATTCACATTTTTGCATCAATAGTACCCATGGGCGTTTGCACCCATGAACATTTGCACTGACGGACATTTGTACCCGCGGACATTTGCACCTAGGACGTTTGGACCTACGTAACTTTGAAGTACTACATAAAAAGGATCTTCAAAGCGAGCGACAGTGTGCGAAACAGTGTGGTGTGCAGTTGCAAGTCTTGGAGTTTGGGGTCCAAATGTACCCCATTTCATGTTAAAAATATTAAAACAAAGTTAATTTTACCCAAAATTCGAACAAAGACTTTCGTAGGAATCAAATTACACCAGGTTTAAGAACATAACAGGTTCCATTTAGTCATTATCAAATTAAAATCTATATTCTCAAGACCTTTGGCACTGATTGAAATAATTATCTCTAAGTTCCCATCCGTACGATGTACCTAATTACCCTTGTTGAGATAATAGGAATTTCTGTTTATAACGTGAATCACGAGCTCACGTTTACAGCATTTAATTGGATTTATGATCAACGTATAAATACGACTCCGATATCTTTCGATAGGGAGAGAGAAGACGATGTAAACCATTCTAAGCTAGTCTGGATAAATGTTATAAGATTTATATTCTGTATGTTGTGGAAATTTACGAATAAAAACATATAGAGATTTTTAACGCATCTTCATTCACGTGGGCGTTGAAGCTGAAGGGTGAACGGGTGACTTGCAAGTCAGAGCCAATCTACGAAATAGCAATATACGGTAATATCATATTCATCTACCAATTATATATGCCATAAATGGTGACTAAACCGACTCGAATTAACCTTCTGAAACGGACCAGATCAACGGACAACAACCAGGACAAGCAACAATTTGACGGAATCAAACGAAAAAGCTGACCAAGCGAAAGCTTTCAACAAGTGCCGAGAAACCGTCTCTACAAAACGTGCGAACTTACGAACGTCGGGGAGATTCAAATTGCCTGGAACAACGAGTGAAGTATCAAATTGCTGACAAGCCGAAATATTCAAAAACATCATGAAAAGACAATAATCTCAATTGAAAACTGTTGAACTATGGTAACGGACTCTGGAAACGTTAAAATTACGAATAAGGACTGTGTTGTCGAACAATCGAAATGAACTCTTTTAGAACATGATATTATGTTCGAGGTGAAAAACCTAATCAAAAACGAACTGTTGAAAACAATGAACTATATGGACTGTTTTACGGTAAATTACGCGCTCTATTCCAAACAATAGAGATATTTTCGCGCATACCTAATGGATATACAGATCAGGAGCATGTTATTCTACAATTTGTTTCATGATTTTCAGGTTTTTCTTCTCATTGAGACAGACATTTTTCATTCTTCCACTATCACTAAGGTAAAGTACTTCTTTTTCTTCTTACGTATATACATGGCGTTTCATTCGGCTTTCAATTTTTATAAATTAATTAATGGTAAAACTTTGAATATTCTAATTTCAAATACCTTTAAAGAGATTTATATTATTGAATATTTGTGGTTAGCATTCCTTTTCGATTAAATAGATTTCGTTATCATTAAAATGCTCTCTAAAAGTAGATTCGAGCGAGTCATACTTTTAATTATTTACAAAGCCGTCATATAGAACGGTGAAATATTAAGCTCGTTAAACAAAAATTGTATCAAAAGCGTTATTTTTTCAAAAAAGCCCTGAGATGGCATAAACTTAAAAATGCGTTTTTTCTTCCCGACATGGGACAAGCATATATTGACCAACTAGGTCTACTAAATCGTAACAATGCGATAAAGCGAGTATAAGCATTTTAACTTAGCGAAATACATTGAATTGAAAATATGTTTTAACCGTCCAAACCAAAATTTTTAAAATAAAAATACGCCATCCTTCTGTAATTCTACTTTACAACTTTTACCCTTTGCTATAACCTCCTGTTTATTTCAATGTCTTGTCTCATTATAGATCATATACATTTAAATATTTTTTTTTGACCTATATCATTAATTTTAGCATTGTGTATTGTATTTTTCTATATATTTTCAATTTATTAGAGGGTGCCAAATCTTGAAACTTCCAGTTAGTAAGATGGGGAGATAATATAGCAACTAACCCCCAAATGTACCCCATTTCATGTTAAAAATATTAAAACAAAGTTAATTTTACCCAAAATTCGAACAAAGACTTTCGTAGGAATCAAATTACACCAGGTTTAAGAACATAACAGGTTCCATTTAGTCATTATCAAATTAAAATCTATATTCTCAAGACCTTTGGCACTGATTGAAATAATTATCTCTAAGTTCCCATCCGTACGATGTACCTAATTACCCTTGTTGAGATAATAGGAATTTCTGTTTATAACGTGAATCACGAGCTCACGTTTACAGCATTTAATTGGATTTATGATCAACGTATAAATACGACTCCGATATCTTTCGATAGGAAGAGAGAAGACGATGTAAACCATTCTAAGCTAGTCTGGATAAATGTTATAAGATTTATATTCTGTGTGTTGTGGAAATTTACGAATAAAAACATATAGAGATTTTTAACGCATCTTCATTCACGTGGGCGTTGAAGCTGAAGGGTGAACGGGTGACTTGCAAGTCAGAGCCAATCTACGAAATAGCAATATACGGTAATATCATATTCATCTAACAACCATATATGCTATAAGTACCCATGGGCGTTTGCACCCATGAACATTTGCACTGACGGACATTTGTACCCGCGGACATTTGCACCTAGGACGTTTGGACCTACGTAACTTTGAAGTACTACATAAAAAGGATCTTCAAAGCGAGCGACAGTGTGCGAAACAGTGTGGTGTGCAGTTGCAAGTCTTGGAGTTTGGGGTCCTCACTTTTTTTAAAAGAATGAAAGATGCGGTTTCAGTCACTTAGACACGTTATGAGCAGATGCTGTATGATGCCAAAACTCAAGAATCTTGGAAAAAATGCAACGGTATCCGTCGCTATAGTTGTATTTTCATCTGTTCGTGGTTTTGCTTCTACTACGTTGATGGATGGAAATCCTAATTATGGGTACGCAACTGTAAAGAAGGTCCTTTTAACTATTTATACATAATACTGTCATGCGGTGGTCGGTTGTCGTGAAATCAAATTTGTTTTTCCGTGAAATAATATCTTAGACCAAGTCGTGTCCTGTCAAGCTTTTTTGTGAGTACTCATGACAAAATTATTGGATTTTTCAACTTTGTAGATGTTGTCGATGGAACGAATCACATTAAAAAATATTAGTAGACAATGATGTTGCGCCTCTGCAAATTAAAAACATGAGTTTTTCACTGGACTGCTTCGGGCTCATTAGGCAATTATATTTTATTGGTATATATGGCACGCAAGCTTCAGGTTTAAGCCGGTTCAGTTATCTCCTTCCCTCATGAAAACGTGACAACCGTACATATTTGTCAACGCTGATGGTGATTTGAAATGATGACACCATTGAATTCTACAACGATTCTCTCTTTAAGCCTCGACTTCCTTGTTTACTTCCCCCTGTGAAAAAAATCATTGGCCTCAAATCGACATATCGTTGGTGAACAGGCAACACAAAAAACAACAATTTTGCTAAACGATCCATATTCCAGCTCGATGTACAAAAATGTTTAAATGTTAATATAGCTTTTAGTAAAGTTTTAGTTTTGAGTCCTTCATGAGAAGATAGATAGTTCATGAGAAAGTTTTTCATGTTGATGTATCTACCATCTGTGTATGAGCAAATCGAGATTTTATTATTTTTAAATAAATCCTTTTGGCCTCAAATAAAGCGTTTCCTACTTGCCATTGATATAATACATCACGCGTGTCATTGACATAGCCCACTGACAAATATGAAATTATATTCAGGAACTAGATCTCGATGACGCGTACATACCAAAATATTCGTGGTAAAAAGAATAACGATGATGAACTGCAGCTGGTATTCGTTTGAAGAATGAAGTTGGAATGGAAGTATTACTATTTTTTTTCCTATTTGGTGATCCGTATACGTTTTTTATTATATACAGTAATTGGTACTCACGTATAGGGTGTGTACCAGGTTAGGGTTAGGCCATAATTTTATTTCGATACTCCTCATTATAGTTCTATTACGAGTTTGGAGACTGTCTGTGTTAGCCAAGTGAATATACCCCCTGCCAATAGGTTTCAGTCCCTTCATACAACTTGATGTGAAATAGGCAAACAAAATTAGTTACCTGGAGTTCTGGAGCGCCCAGTAAATTTTTGAAGATGGTTCGCAGACAAATTACAAATTCTGTGCTTTTTAATACAATGCTTTTTCAACTGTTAATAGAGACGTCAGTTCTAAAGATCAATTAACTGCAGAAATTTAAAGAGTGATTTTAGTAATAGATATATAAATTAGTTAGCTCACGTAATAATAGGATTAAGATTAAAGATTTTATTCATCGTGTCGATGCCGGATAATTGTCCGATCAACTTTGCTGCACTAGTGGTGTGATGTGTTTTTTGTTTAATGATATAATTTGGCTTCTTCCCAAAAGCGTTATCTTCGTTGTTTTCACTGTGGGCGTGGCGCGTGGCACAAATCCCGATTTTCCCTGATTTCGGCACTCAAGTCGTTGATGTCTTTTTCAATTCGATGCATTCGTTTACCAATGTATTACGATATAATCATTATTAAGATGATTAAAAATAATCAATAATCAATTTGCATGCTTGTCAATACCTCCGTCACGATTTACATTAAACAAGTCAAAAGTCCACAAAATATTTCTTTTTTACATTATTACCTAACAATAAAAGAAGTTTAAAAGAGTGCCACGGTTTTAATCTTGAACGTAATAGTTTTCAATTTTATTTTGTTTTCTAGGTCTCATGTTTTTTCGAAATAGTATTCACACCTGATGCAAATCTGATCAAATATCAAGAAAACAATTAAATTATGCAATAAATCAACTATTATTCGGTGTCTTATTTCGCATTGTTGGGTTGATGACCTTACATATAAAATGATAGTTTGGATTGCAATTTTCTTGCTGCAGCCATCACCTTCAGGTATCCCAAAGAACAGTAATCTGTATCTGTGTAGTATTTGCCAGTATTCTTCGGAATTATTTTTATCATTTAGTTCAACGGGGAACTTGGAATGCAAGCGGAAGCTATGAATACTATGTTTCAGCGACTGGCGTATGGAAAACATACAGTGAATCCTTGAAATATTGCAATGAACAAGGTGGACGACTAGCTCTAGTAAAATCAGGAAATATTCAAGAATTTATACAGACATTGGTCACGGATGGTTCAGGTTAGTCGTTTGAGCGCTTATATATATCAATTCTGATTTGGTTAGAGTTTGTATGGGATAAAGGAAAAATATCGATTATGCAATATGATACACACTGACTGGTCTAGAATATGCATATATACCCATGCAATCGTGCCAAACATTTTATATATATATATATATATATATATATATGTACACAAGGAGCCCATAAACAGATAGGGTGGGAAATTCCATTTGAATATTGGGAATAGGGTGATTTTGTGGAGCATTGTACCTAGACGTGGTGGTCTCGTGGGCAGGGGCGACCCCCTTTGAAAATTTCTGGCTACGCCCCTGCAGCCAGGTAGGTTCGCGGAATATAATTAATTGGGGTAGGCAATGCTCAACCTTCTGGAAATAATACATGGCCAGGAATCATATGCTGACTCTATAGAGCAATATTTGTAGTAAAAGTCTGGAAACTTCTCATCCCAAATAAAAGGTACGATGAAAATCGATATTTGAAAAACAAATAAATACCACCGTCTCTTTTCCAGGATACCCTTATGGGTTTTCAATGGGTTTGCGTGATATGTTTGGGAACAATACTTTCACTTGGGATGATGGATCAGCATTAACATACAGCAATTGGATTATTAATGAGCCAAATAACGTCAATGAGACATGTGCCATGATGGGATGGATATATGCTTTTTATGCCACTTTACCGTGGTACGATATGTATTGCCAATCAAGAAAAGGATTTGTATGCCAAAGAATTATAGGTATATATATCACAATATATAATCAGTTTCATAATCAGTTTTTATTTATTTTTTATTTTTTTAACCTTTTCATCGCCGTTTATACTGATTATGGAGTCAAAATAAACTTATCTTACCTTATATATGAATAGATCTATTTCAGACGCAATATAAGAAAAGTAATTCTGTAATAACATATAACATAAAGTAAAATGAAGTTGAACCGTTTTGAGGAAATATCCCAGATCGAGTTTCAGTTCAGAGTTTGATTGAGCCTTTTACGCACAATTACTGTGCAGCGAAGTATATTGTATCATAGTACCGATTAGTAGATATGGGCTTCAACGACTTTTCACTGTTAGACGCTAATAATATTAAAATGAAATGTGGTAAAACAACTTGTCTGAAACTAGATCTAGATCTATTTTTAATACGTTTTCACTCTCATAATCACTAGGTCTATATTGGAGTGATTGGAGTAGCTTTTCATCTTGCAACTGCAGCGGTCTTCAGCAACGTACACGGACATGCACAGACTCTCGGCGAGAAGGACCAAACAACTGCTCCACTGCGGATATAGTGGATATAAATGTACACAAAAGAGATTTTGAAATATGTTACCGACTAGTAATTATTATCTCAACAATACCTATACTTCTGTTTTTGTTTTATATCTTGAAGTGTTTAAGGTCAGATTAAGCATGGTCATTCGAAACAAATGAAACAATTTTTGCTCGAATAAGGAAAGGATTTACATATTTATCCTGGGGAGAGGAAAGGCGATAAAACGACTTAATAATATGGCGAACCGCGGTCTCTCGTCCGGTTATCAGTCCATTTCGGGAATTGGATTAATTAGTCAGTTATTTGTTTTCGGAAGCATGGACTTAATGGCGGAGGAAGCCGTAACCGACCAGCGATTACGTGAACCACCCTACGGCGGCGAGAATTCCAGCAGCCCTCTCGCACACACACACTATCCTCGCATGGGATTCGAATCTGTGAACCCACGCAGAGTAATCAGAGGTGAGGTGCCGAGCGTATTCCAAACGTTTAGAACAGTACGCCTCATCGAGCATTACATTAAACTCTTTACTTATCTTCTAGAGCCAGAGTTGTTCAATACCAACGGAATGCCCGACGACGTCGAGTCCTGCAACTACAACAAAACTTAGAACGAACCTTATAACAACAGCTCTCTCCACAATTACAACTTGTAAATAAAAATACAAAATTTTAGCAAACTTGGAATTTGAACCAGAAATTTATTCGACAGAATTCCTAACCCAATGATTACAATTTTAACCGAAAATAAATGAGGTTCTGAAATCGTTTTTAATTTAGTTTATGTGATATAATCGGTTATTTTCCAAACTATTTACTGGAGTTATTTTGTACGTGTATGTGATTTAAGCAAATGTACTTTATTGTTAAGAGTTCTGCGTAATATTTTGTTTTAAAAATATGGCTAGAGAATGTTCGGCAATAACAAATTATAAGAAATAAAGATTATGAATATTCCGTTTGTGAGAATTCACAACAATAAAATCTCGATTAATTTTCATGGCTTTTTGATTGCACGTTCGGTATAATTCCGCGTATTTTCATTACATACATTCTTGCAGTTACGACACAAGCGTACATGTCCAAATCCACAACCTCTGCATCCGGTAAGCTGGGGTTATGAGTAATATTTTGAATATAATTGGCTTGTTATGAGTGCTTTACAAAGCAGTTTTTCAATATATTTATATTACGTACAATTATTTTGAGATAACAGCAATAGATCCCATCTTGACCTCCACTTCTGATACATCATTAGGTGTATTTGCGTTGCATATTGAAGAAGTTGTTCTTGCTGATTGCTTCACATATATATATTGAAATAATAATGACTAAAAATTGGAAATAATATTTTGCAATATGGTATTTTGATAATATCTTAATCACCACTTAATGCGATTAATTATTCTATTCAGAAACAATACCACTTGTTTATATTGCAATAGGAGGTGTGGGTGGAGCAGTAATTTCACTTATTGTTGTTAGCCTGGTTGTTTGTTGTGTCCGTAAAAAACGGTAAGTCAAATCTGAGAAAGTCTTATAATTATAATTACTTTTGGATACTAATTTGATTGACGTGTTTTCAGTGTGAATTTCAATATAAGACAACTGAGATAATGAATATTTTTTAAACAATACGACGGGGCAAGTATACATCCTGATTACAATACAACAATTAGGTCAAATATTCGAAAATATGTAGATATTTCGATGGGCTGTAACTTGTTAAAAAAGTACACCATACACCAATGAAGGCTTAGACTGAAGTATAATATGATTTAATGTGGCCCAATTGAAGACATAAAAAATGAAACATGTATATGAGCAACATCATTTTCACGAAATAACTATTATTACAACGAATCTGCTCATATGACAATAAGAATAATTGCTCATGAAATGTTATTTTGAAGAGCCTCTAAAAACAAAAATTCCAATGAAATAACTCAAAATGTCGGACCGCCTTTGGGAGACCCAGAATACGCAACCATAGCTGGCACTAATGTTGAAGGTAAAGTTGTTCTGTATAAAATTTATATACCAGAAGTTTGATTCCTAATTTCTCATGATAACCTATTAAGTATTGACCCCCGAAACTATAGCCCAATGATCACGATAGCGTTCTTGCCATGTGTATAATTTTATGTATATATATATTACAGAATCGCTATGAAATGAAAAGTTGTATTCTAGATCTGTAATTAGCTTATTATAAGCATTTCGTGCTAAGCTTGGCTCTTAGCTGATGGTGGTTGATTAATTTTCTAGGCTTGGACTCGCTAGTCGTGCGCTAGTTTTTGCAGTAACCAAAACCTGATGATATATGACAACGTTTATCAGACGAAAATGGAGACCCAAGTATGCGCTAATTCTCTTACCTAAATTTCGCACAATTCTTGAAACATTTGTCATCGATTTTCACGGAGTCTGGAGACATTTTATAACAGTGAAAAAACAAAGCAGAAAATAAAACACCGCACTTGATTGGCCATGCCATCTTATGTATAGCTTCCATACTAATCAAACAACGCAATATGCTCTCTACGAAAACAGATATTCAAATAATGATCGGGACCTTATACCCATCCATTGATGTTGTTCCTGCTATTTCCGAAATTTTCTTGCATTGTATTAGTCTGTGGTTATGCTCTTACAGCATGCATACTATTGAAAATATCAAAACATTCAATCATATTGATCTATACACTTTTAGCTTATCCCGAAGGAGATTATACACGCATGGAATCAACAAATCCCCCTCATAGTGAACAGGACCTCCCGGAAAGAACTCAAAATCAGGGTAAACTCAGCGTGAAAACTACTAACAAAGCGAACGTTGAAGCAGGTATGACAAAAGAAAAATTAGCTTACCAAATTGCCAAAAATTAAAACCTATTTACAAGTATGCAATTGGAAATTTCCTCGTGTTATTTTTTGCCTTCTAATATATATATATATATATTCTTGTCCAGTTTTAATACATGTATCAACCAGACTGACTTTTCCTAGAATGTTGAACTTTTCATGGATCATTTCGAAATTTGTACGCCTTAAAATATTAGATTAAACTAGAAAGTTCCTAAGGCCGATATTTCTACAATTTCGACATTCCCTCAGGACATGTTTTACCACATATTTTGCTCTTTGAAAAATCTGCCACCGCCTTGTATGTCTTCCCGCATTTATTTATAACTTTTTTCAGTCTTCTTTCTTTCCAAGTAATGAGGTAGGATATCATTGCTTAATTATAGGAAGTATTTTATGCTTGGGTGTAAGTTTTTGTTCTACATATTCGTTTTTCTCTTTAATGCAACAGGACGAAATGTTGAGTATGTCAATATACTGAACATTACCAAAAAGACGGCAAAAGTGTCCAATAGCAAATATGTTGTTGATCAAGGTACTTCAAAAGAAAATCAAGTGATTATAAATCGAAATGAACAACTCCAAACCCTAGATAATACAAAGGAATCTGAAATCATTTACATGAACACAAAGAATATCTCACCTGAAACTGCTTAGATTTAAAACAAGCTAACCGAACTTTTTTTAAGAAGAGAAAGAGTATCGCGCAGACATCCAGAAGTCGATGATAACCAAATTCAACCCAGTAATTAAAGGAATAAAAAAATTTCTCGTCAATGATTTGTGTTAGTAATGATCGACCCAACACCAGCTGGCGACCTAAGCCTTCAGAACGATTGTATGAACATTTGAATTTTTAACTTGGTTTATCAATTAAAGTTTCTTCAAAATTATTCAATGTCCTCCGTTCATAACCAACACAATACAAACAACGAGGAAACAATTTTGAATTTAGGAAACTGATCCAAAATGAAAGCAAGTGATCAACCAAAAAAAACGCCGACGTTCAAGACGCCGTGTATTTTCATCATTGACTGACACTACAGCATTGAGTGCAACTGCGACTTCACCCAAATCCAAAAAAACTCTGACAAGAAAAATGAACATGGAATGTTACGCATCAGCATAAAAACCGATGCTGATGCTAACAACACAAACGAAAAAATTTGTGATTCACATAAATTATGATAAAAAGTTTGGCAAGAGGGGGAATGTAAATATAACTTGATTGATTTCGTTCATCTTTTTATTGTATAATTTAATATATATGTTCACTTATATTATAACTTTCAAATACAGTATACAGTTATTGAAAGTAGGGTTTAGGTCCAAAAGTAGGTTTGTAGTTCTCATCGTGGTCGGTAGGGTTTTCAATTTCAAGTTATGCAATAAGCGTTGCAATGATGTTCTTGGTAAGGATAGCTCAGCGGAAGCACGTCGTGTAGATTTTTTTTTGGACTATTAATAAATGTCACAGCTACTAACTTATTTTCTTCAGTCGTAGAAGTTGTAGGACGTCCAGATTTTGGTGCATTACTCACCGAATCTGTTTTATCAATTTTTTTCCTTAAGCGATAAATTATCAGACGTGAAGGCGGAGGAGTGTGAAAGCATTCTTGCCATGCCCTACGTACAGTCTCAGAATTTTCATACTTCCAATATTCCTTTAATATCCATTTTCTTTGCTCTTCATTTAAATAATTCGCCTTTAACCCTCAAATAAAATAAAGATTTACAAAATGTATTACCTTCCAAGCAGCTAGAAAACCAATGTAAAATTCACACTAGATTTATTATCTTAAAACCTTATTACCTTATTTTTGTGGTACTCAACAAGTAACATGGAGTGAACTGCAAGTAGCTTCAAAGCATATAAAATAGTTTAATAACTGTATACCTACTTTTGGGCCACCCTTACAGTATATATATAAAAAGTGAAATTAGCTTCTACCTCACAATGTTTGATGGGATTGGCGGATTTATTATGAACTTAACTGTGAGTTTACAAGTACTTTCACAAGTACACAGACGATCTTGAACTTTTATTATTTTAGAGATTTTCTGCAAGCATACTAAATCCGACGGATTGTAATATTTTATGTAGTATTCTATGTAGTATTAGTCGGGAATTCGCTTATCTATTTTTAAAACGTACGTTTTACTATGTTTTTTTTGTGTATAGTTTTATACCGTTTTGCATCAATAGCTCAAAACGTTTGATTAATTTGTTAGAAAGACACTATTACCGAGAATCTTCACCTTGCACCATTATTGCACTTTTAACTTCCTGTTATTGTAATGCGTTTCGGAGTTTTGATTTGATGATGATAGGAAACAGGCAAAACATTCGGTACCGAATACAAGGTGGTGGTAAAATGAAGACACCTTTTCTTTTTTAATTGTCATTTTTTGGTCACTGCACTTTTATATGAAGGGGATAAAATGTTAACTGTGCTATATAATATAATAATATGTTGAATATTGATGAATCATTTTCTGGCACGATGAAATAAGGAGTAGGTGCACCAGTGGATGTGTTATTCATACCAGTTTGGGTCATGTCTTTTAATGCCTTCAACACACCCTTGGATCGCATTGAATAACACCGTTAGCAACCTGGCTATCTCCACCAATGTACACAGTTTAGCATTTTTGAACTTTGTTTAACTGGTCATTCGGGGAATACCCCACGAGCTCTTGGGGCCATGCTCTTGATGGTTCAGCTGCCAAATTCATACTCACCAGCGATACCAGTGTCCTAATAACTTAATTTCCTACTTTACAAACGGTATTAGATATCGAACCTTGGGTGTCGCGACTTCCCTTCCCCAGTAAAAGTGTATATATGTTATAAATTTTTGTTATAATTGTTAGATATAATGTTTGTTATTTGCAGTAGACGAATGAAAGTTGTAACAGAAATGGTATGAGACTGGACAAAAGTTTTCTCATCCAAATTTTGTGGTCATGGAGTCGGAAACTTTGTCAGTCCAGATTCGAAAGTTGGATTTTTGTTACCTGGCTCAATGAAAATATCCTAGACTTTACTGCCTTGCCTACTCCAAATTAGCTTCGTTACTTTAAATTTAAAGTATGTGTGAAAATAGCATGAATTCAGTGTAAATTTGCATTCCAATAAATCATAAAATTCGAAATCGGCTCTCCCCTCGCCGCCCGCATTTTTATCTGTGGGAGTATTCAATGGGCAATGTGTAGCCTGTGAGAACAATAATCAAACAATTGGTCAATTCATGGCTACAATTTCAAGGAAAATCAGGAAAATATGCATAGAAGAGTGGGTATGAGTGATTGACAGTTTGGTCCAGCAAGTCTGCCTTCAAAGCCGAGGAGGTCACTTGGAAAATATTTTAAGTTGAGAGTATAATTTTTGTGCAAAACGACCTAGGGTGGTCCAAAGATGCGAGGTTGAAGGGCTGCAAACACGTTTGAGAAGGTCTCGCGTGTCGCAGTTTTGAGGGATATATATAAATCCTTTATTTAGTTTAAAATTGATTTCCGAGAAGTATCATCATGGTATTTTTCGTATCTTTTCTCGTGTTTGGTTTTGTAATGTCGCTTCAAATTATATTCTGTCGTGACATATATTACTTGAAACCACACCAGACACTTTTGTTGGTCGTTTTAGTGGGCAAGGAAATACGTTTGTTCCCAGTTTTCCTCTGTTACCTTTTTTTTGACACTTATTTTGTGATGAATTGTTATATTTGACTAATTGAATAATTTAAAGTGTGAGCAGGCCTAGTGCTATCGTCAAAGAACAACCAAGTCCGTCTAAGTTGGGATTTCGGCACCTAGCTAAAAAAACGGATTGAGCGGTACCAAGTCAGCTCAGCGTTTTGCCACTGCTGTCACAAGGCCCACGCTCGAAAATATAGAGGTATTTTCACAATAATGAAGGCATAAACGTCTCTCCAAAAAAGGAGTTGCTTGACGCGAGCTTAATTAAAGTGTGAAGTTGAGATGAAAAGCGCGACTTATCTCATCGAGTCAATTCGTTCTCTTTTGCACCGTCATACTGAAATTCCGTGATTTTAACAAACATCATTCCCAACATCGGGATTAGGAAAAGGGTTTAAATCTCGGGATCCCAACCCCTGTTGGAACTGCTGAAAAAACTCAAAAATGTCCTGCCAATAAATACAAATATACGCTAAAATTGCTCTGCATGGTGCCATGGTTTGGACCTCCCTGACTTAGATTATTAAAACTTAGGGTACAATTATACAAAAACATCATTTGAGGCGCAAATAAAATTAAATAAATTTCCTTATTTTTGTAGAAGTAATAAATTCATAGGTTCTGTTTTTGGGTTCACTCTGTAATATGATATACTAATGCTTATGGTTTTTATGGAAAACAAGCGATGCAAGTGACGGACGCGTGTGGTGGAATGAGAGAAATGAATGATACAAAAGGGACATGAAATTACCTCCTGTATGTAAACGTGACTATCATGCCTATTTGTTAACAATGATGATGACACCATTGAATTCTACAACGAGTCTCTTTTCATGCATCTACTTCCTGGTTTACTTCCTGCTGTGAAAAAATCATTGGCCTCAAATCGATATATCGTTGGTGAACAGAACCGATAACTTTCATGTGTGATGCAAATTTAGGCTTTGTTCGTATTCAAGTCTATCAAGAATCTGGTAGTCACGACACCAGCTTAAATTTTTCAACTTGATGTGTTTATTTTATGTTCTAATGGAGGCGACATAGAACAAAAATACATTTCCAGCAATCAATACACACGCGTCAGATACCGCAGAGTGATATATTTTCCAGTAGTTCTTTGTTGCCACACGAATCACTACTTTGGCTGACTGTATGAGGTTCGCGATGACCTGATTTGAACAACACACTCCAATTTGGAAATATTTCAAAATTGGAATATATGCCTTTAGATATCAGAAAAATAGCAAAAAGTCTTATAGCTTTATCTCTTGAAATACATAAATAACGGTCTGAATTCCAATTGTGATGTAATACCAATGTAACAATGATTTATGTTCACAACAATCCATTCCTATTTGTAAAAATTGAATTTCCAATCGATTCTCATATTGTCTTTATAATATACCCGGAGGAATGAAGTAGTAAATAACACACTGTCAGAAAAAAACTATTTATTGATTTTAGTTTCGATGCAAAATAGGAATTGCAGGTAAATGCCATGGGGAAATGTCATTTACTTAATACTCATCACGCTATAATTTCTGTTATTTGTCTTTATATTGGGGGGAGATTTCCTGAATCCAGCGACATGAAAATCGATAGTCATCGGCAAAATTTCAGGTCACAGCTAAAAGCAAACCAAGCGATATAAAAGTAGAGTAATATGCAAGCAAAATATATTCCCATTCACATCATCATCTTATGCATGTATATTCCATAAATGGAAAAAGCCATACTACTGGTCACTCACTTCATTTGAGAATATGCAAAACTGCATGGTAATATATAATGAAAAAAATATATATATAAAATGGAAATAAGCAAAATACGATATGTAATATACAAGCTAATGTGAAAATTAGTTACATCGTGTCCGATTTTTGAAAATGAAATGATTGCGAAATACGAATATTACTGCATGTTATTTTCTAAAGAAAGAAAGGTTATAACATTGCGTTTATCTTATCTTGTGACGTCTATAAAACACATGTACAATATTATTTGTAAAATCGGGTATAAAGGATTGTCAAAGAAATGCATATTGGATATTTTGTAAAATTTTGCTCAATACGGTTACAAGTACATCCACACCCAAAACACAAACCCATTTACATAGCATATCAGAGCAATGCTGAACAACTGGGAAATGAAAAAGGACTAAGAACTATGTCCTAAGTCAACGGTTTCCAACTGTGGGGCCCATGGCCCTCACGGAGCAATTGAAAAGGGCCACAATGCCAGGCGCAAAACTGATTTTACTTTTGACTTCACAAAAAAAATCCCCATTCTTCCTAGTTCCATTGCTTGATCGGGTTATTTCACAGGTGTTTTCACTTTGTTGAGCATGAATTATTTGAACACAATGGGATTTGGAATTTACCAACCATAATAACACTATGAATGTCACTGGAATGATAGACAGGGGGCGATGAATGCTAATAGCCTCTGGAAGGGGGCCACGAGCCATAGAAGGTTGGGAACCACTGTCCTAAGCAAATAAGCTTGCGATTATATTGCAAAGAATTACCGGTATATCTAAATATCGAACAGTATTTTTGTCGTTTTGTGCTCGTTGATTGTCGAGGGTTGATGCTATGCAACGCCGCGTCATACTTGGATGGTGATTGACGAAGAACGATTTTTTAATATATTTAACAACCGATGTACGGATTGGAATAACCTCGTACCTACTGTGAGTAAACCCGCAAATACATTCGCGAAAAGTCGAGCATGCCCGCAACAATGAAATTGCTCTGTGAACAGGGCGTAGTTAAAATATAACGAACAATAAATCGTTGTGCAAATAAAGATACGAAAACCACACACAAAAAATACATAGCATGGAATGGGGTGCACGCACAAGCAAAAGTCAAAGGTATGTCAAAACAATTTAAATTTTATAACTAGTTGCCAATTTAATTTGATAATATATCTGCGAACTTACCAATACCGGTACAAAAAGAATTAAAAATTATTTATAATATTATCCTGGTGATCTTATTGATTGTATCCGATAATAAATATAAAAATGTAATAGGAGTAAATTCTGTTATCGGGCACAATCTTACATTAATTAATCATTTACTAAACTATGATTTCCTTATCATGTTGTGTTTACGAAGTATCAAATTATCATGTATGTATGTAGCCACGTACATTCAGAAATGAGAATTGAAGATCAATCTCACCAAAATATATTCCGGAGGGATACTAATGGAGTCACTGAAACGCAGCAACCTCATAAAAGATTCAAAGCCAAAATCAGTCACTGTCAACTCGAAATGGGATCAGTTTTATAATCCTGTTCCGACGATAGTTATCCGAATTAAAATAAATCAGACGAATAAATTTCTCATAAAAGGATAAATCAAGCGTTGAAAATACAGTTACGATTTGGTATAACAATTAGATTTTGGAAATTTTATTCAGATCATTACCTTTAATGTAACGCTTTTGTCGGATAACTTACAAAATTATTTTTTATTGCAGTCGCTAATTTTGTATTGAATAAAAGCTTTAATCATGAAAATACCGTTTCGGAAAACAAATAAAATTTACAACTTGCCGACATTTGAGTCGCCGAGTGACCTCGATGAATGAAACAAAAATAATTCTTTAATGCGTGAAAACGACACGTATAATCAAAATAAAAATGAAATAATTTTTTGTCATAAATATCTGAATACGTGTTGTTGATGAAACACGAACGACGACTTTTAAGACTAAAACGAATATTATGCAACCCTGTTTATGACGGTTATTTATTTATGTCTACTTACTGCGTGACGAAAAACGTAATTAGGATTGTTTGACGACAACTCGAACTCTACCGATAAATATGTCTATATCGGGTAGCGGTAATTGTTACATGATATAAATACCACAATGCACAAACTTATAATAAAAGGGCATATGATGACAATTTTTTTGTATGATGATTACTCGGTAAAATGCAGCGATCACATAGCGTTATAGACTGTGCTACTATTTCCTTCATGATTCATAATAAATGAAATTAGTATAAAACAATGATACAGAGTTGACAGCCGGATGACATTATCATAGCAGAACAACCAACGAATCGTGTGAGAACGGGAAGTTGTATCAAAATATAAATATAATTGAATTCAACGTTTGGACATTATAATTCTAATAAAACAATCAAATAATCTATAATACTTGTAAAAAAGCAAGCAATCTCACCAAATTAGAATATACAAAATGCACAGCCATCAAAATTTGCTCCGTTTTATATAAGACAAACGAGGTTATTATTCATCTCATGGTATATTCATCAAAAAAATTACAGTACGTTCGACTGCAACAACTACCCGTTTGTTTTCCACAGCGATTTTAACCAATCAATAGAAATATTACCCCACAATGTTATTGCTTCTTTTTCCCGTATTGAGTAGCTTCCCCAGCTTCAACATAATTACGAGCAATAAATTTAAGAATTTCATCTAGTATCAGCACAGGAAAAGACATTTTTAGAACCATCATCCATTCGTACGAATTCAAGGGACAAACTCGGAAAACCATGGGCAAAGGACCGACGTGTAAAATCAAAAAGTGCAAACTCAGTGACAAGACAATCGACCCCATGAGCCAAATATTCTGCCAAGGTGGCATGGTGAAGATTGATTGATTTTCTGATATACTGTTCAGGGCGTTGAAAAGTTCAATAAGTACAAGTACAGAGAGGGACATCGTCATTGGATGAGAATCTACAAATATTTTGCAGTCCACTCCTTCAAACAATTCTGGATTCGAATAGCACGACATGTGGTGAGTAATCTGCCACCATGAGACCTGAGGTCCTGTTTCAGCAAACACCAACCACCAGATTGAAGCTCCAACTGTTGCAGCACCGACATAACCTCCAATTACGCAATAGCGACATAACAACCACCCATTGATCAAGGTATCTTTAGTAGATCGGGGTTTCTTGTCCATAATATTCATATCGGGCGGATTGAAACTAAGGGCGGTCGCTGGTAGACCGTCAGTTACCAAGTTGACCCACAATAGTTGGACTGGGATAAGAGCTTCTGGTACTCCTAAAGCTGCAGCTAAAAATATGCAGACAACTTCACCAATGTTGGACGAGATCAGATATCGTATAAACTGCTTCATATTGTTATAAATAGCCCTTCCTTCTTCAACAGCAGCAACAATAGATGTAAAATTATCATCTGCAAGGACCATTTCAGCTGCAGTTTTGGCTACAGCGGTACCGCTTCCCATCGCAATACCGATCTCGGCTTTTTTGAGAGCTGGAGCATCGTTCACACCGTCACCAGTCATTGCAGTCACATCACCGTTTCGTTGTAAATACCCAACTATTTTGCTCTTATGTGCGGGTTCGACTCTGGCGAACAACCGGGCTCTAAGGCAAGCTTCAAATTGTTCGTCAGGATTTAAATCATCAAATTCGCGTCCCGTATAAGCAAGTCCGTCAGTATTTTCATCTTCTCCGAATACTCCAATACGTCTGCAAATTGCTTTAGCTGTTGCTTTGTTGTCTCCCGTGATGACGATAACTCGAATACCAGCAGATCTGCACTCTTCAATCGCTTGGTAAACTTCGGTCCGTGGGGGATCTAACATTCCAACAGCTCCCACAAAAGTGATGTTAGATTCATATTTAGCAAAATTTTTAGAGTCAGTTAAATCCATATCTTCTGATAGAGCCGGGGAATCGACAGTGCCAAGCGCTAGGCAGCGCAAAGTGTCTCTACCAGTGCCATATTCCGCAATGAGATTTAGAATTTCAGCTTTGATATTATTTGTGATGGGAACCTTGTCAGATCCAACTCGTACATGGGTACAACGGTCAAGTATACCTTCGGGTGCACCCTTGACGTACATTCTGGCATCACAATCATTAACCGCGTCACATGGAATGCAGTAGGAACTCATTGATTTTCGGTCTCTTGAAAATTCGAGCGTGAATTTTTTCGACAACCTTTCTTTTATGCTATTACAGCAAGCATTAGCACGTGAACATTTTGAAATGCCATCCAGAGGAATTCCATCCACATTCATTTTTTCACACAGCACTGTAAGAGCAGTCTCTGTCGCCTCTCCAACTTTTTCGTATACACCTTTACTTTCATTGAAATCTAATGAAGAATCGTTGCACATTGCACATATAGTGGCAAGCTCTGACAAAGCCTCAAAATCTTGGACATTGACTTTTGTGTCGTCTTTTTTAACATCCCCTTTTGGCTCATATGTAGAGCCTTCAATATGGAATTGATGAAATGATGGATTGTCGTTTTGTACTCCATCCAGAATAAACATCCGACAAACTGACATTTGGTTAGTCGTCAAGGTACCGGTTTTGTCAGAACAAATTACGGAGGTACAGCCCAAAGTTTCAACAGAGGGCAAACTCCGGACGATGGCATTCTTTTTTGCCATTCTTCGTGTACCCAAAGCAAGGCAAGTAGTGATGACGGCAGGGAGTCCTTCGGGAATTGCGGCGACTGCGAGAGCCACAGCTATCTTGAAGTAATACACCGCGCCTTTGATCCATGATCCCCCGTGAATCGGATCGTTGAAGTGACCGATGTTAATTGCCCAAACCGCTATGCAGATCAAAGTAATTATTTTCGAAAGTTGTTTACCGAACTCGTCTAATTTTTGTTGTAAGGGCGTTTTGTCGTTTTCTGTGCTGGCCATTTCATTACGAATTTTCCCAATCTCAGTTCTTTGTCCAGTTCCAACAACCACGCCCACAGCTTTCCCAGATGCGATGTTCGTACCGGAAAACAACATGTTTTTCTTGTCCTGGTTGACTGCCCGCGGGTCGGGAACAACATCTATATGTTTAATAACGCTTACACTTTCACCGGTCAAAATTGCTTGGTCAACACGAAGTGTAGTGGAACGAATCAATGTTAACCTGATATCAGCCGGGATCTTGTCGCCCACTGCCACCTCGACAATATCGCCGGGAACTATATCCTTGGCTAAAATTCGTTGAATGGACGCTTTATTCTTCCTTCTCACTTTACCCATTTCGGGTTCATATTCCTTCAACGCCTCGATTGCACTTTCTGCATTTCGCTCTTGCCAAACACCAACAATGGCATTTGCAAGTAATATCATTAAAATAACAAATGGCTCCACAAAGGCAGTAAGAGATTCCTCCCCGTCCTCAAAAAGGGCCAGTAAGAAGGAAATTATCGCTGCTAGGAGAAGTATGCGAACCAACAAATCCTCAAACTGCTCAAATAAAAGTTGCCAAACCGTTTTTTTATCTTCCGAAGGTAGCTCGTTCAAGCCATATTTTGCTCTGTTTTCTCGAACCTGAGACTCGGTCAATCCTACGTTTTCATTCACATCGAAAAACTTTTGTACGTCTTCTTTAGATCTAGCGTAAGCATCATCCATTGTTGCTTGCGTCGTCGAATAGCGAAAGCGGGCTATTTAATTTTTTGAATATAGTTTTTATTCTACCATAAACATGATTTTAACAAACTGCAACAAAAACATATAAAAAAGCTGAAATTGAATCAATTTGACTATTTGAAATGGACATTCTCTGGCAATGTTTACCTCTTCATTAATACGGGAACAAATACGTGCGTTTACAAAGTACAAAATACCCATCACTAACCATCTGCCAATGAAACGACCTGATCTTTGTTCTGGTATCCGCTTTAATGTCAGTACATAAATGATGCAGCATCCGCAGTAAAGGACAATACAAAGGTCTACCGCGGCTTACGTGTATTAGTCACCAGTGCATTTCCCGCATTATTATAAGTTATGAGGCCACCCGCGCCCTGCTGTAGACTATGATTATATGGACTGTGCGGACGCAAATTTGCGCAGCAAATGAGTATTGATTTTAATCATTGGGCACCTGTTGTTCAATGTTCATTTATGTACCCTATAGGCATAATATATTTTAATCTGGAATTTTTACGTGTGGTCGGGATAATACCATAATGAATATAATGCAAGCTAATTTTTCACGAAAATCTATAGAATTAATATACAAAGTAAAGTTACTAATTCTTTTATATTGCTTTTACGAGACGAATAAACATACATACAAAGTCACTTCAATGTTATTAATTACTCAAAACTAATTACAGGCACGCTTTTGCCAAAAGTGGCCGACACTTACAACTAAAGCGCAACTTAGGTGCCAAATTGATTTGACTAACGTGCTAATTGCTGATCGTCGGGCATGGCGCGTTATGCAACAATGAAACTTTCAAATTGAACTGAAATATTCAAATATAGTGTAAACGGGAGGTGCGTATCTTATATTTGACTACCAAGCAACAAATATGTTCAGTAACGGTATCTTATAATGAATATGTAAACGATGATATCAGCTTAGCGTCCTTATTTTGTACGGTGTGTCATCAGAAAAATTCAACTACAAGCTATAGTCGATCATCAAAGCTACATTTGACATTGAATTAAGATATCAAAGAGCGTCAAAATAAAAACTCAATTCTATTTCTCGCGAGTTTTAAAACTATTGCAAAACTTTTTACAACGATCAATGAACAATCAATTACGTATATTGCGCTTTGTATTGTCTATGGGGCATCACGATAGCGCGGTTCATTGATATAATAAAAATTTTCGTTTTCGTTCATTTGACGTACCTTGCGCTTGACAGGTCGTGCAAACAATAGGTCCAGCGACGTCTTACTCAGCATCAAATAAAACGTTCATTGTATACAAATTATGAAAATACAATGGGCTGGTATAACTTGGTAGGACTAAATATAGATTTCAATGCTCTAGCTTAGTTGTTGCGATCTGCTGTTATACAGGCATGCTGAACCTATCACAACTACAAATAAGTCAACAAATTCTTTCTTCGAAGTGAAACTGATTTGGAGGAAAATGCAATATTTACAAGATACATAAAACGTGAGTCGGATAAACACGGAAGTTCATCTTAAACAAATATACACAATATGTCACCGGTAGGGTTTTAACTTCAGTGACGAAGTGTAATAAGTTAAGATGTACTTTATAAATGTTTCCCATATTTTCTGCGACACGATATTCCCGCATAATGACGCGTCAAAATACAAAACACGCCGTTCCAATTGGGCATAATACCAATACAACGTGCAAAATATATATAGAGCCAGTACTACAATTTGAATTAAGTCCTGCATGTAATTGTTTCGCGTCTAAGTACAAGTTGCACACATCTCAAAATCGAGATATACAATCCAATTCTCGGAAATGAATACAGAAAAATGAACACGGTAAGTTCTACAAAAAAAAACAGTCACTACGGACTAACTGACTTTCAATTTTAAACACTCGTCATGACAACGGTAGGAAGTATATATTGCATCTTACATGCTTTTTTGTTTTAGAATAGTTCTTCCACCTCATTTTACTGAACATTTGCACTGCTCACACCATAATCGTGTCATACCAAGTGAATAATTACACTCGTAATGGAGTTACAATCAATAATATTCGTATTATCGATGACAATTCAATTAATCAATACCCAAGCGAACGAGATCGATAATGGGGGCCAGGGTCATTATTGAGATAGCGAACAGCCAAGAAAAGACACGTTCATTGCGGAATCAGGTATTTTCAAGCTTAAGAAATGAATATTTCAGAGACTAGCCAACCTGTCAACGCTACTCTAGCAACGTATTGCTATACTTCTTGATTTCATTCGCCCGATTGGTGTTTGAAGCTGCTTAAAGTGGCGGCTATCCAATTGCAAATGGATTATATATCTTTCCTTATCTCACTAATTAACAAAACCTTTGAATGGTGATTCTGCCACCTTGAAGTAATTTTACCCAAATCATAACAGCGTGTATGCAAGTGTGCAATATATTGCATATTTGCCTCCAAGCAGAATCATTCAAAGATCTGCAACAAGCCTATTGAAAATGCAAGTAATTGACATCTTTGTTCCTGGCTGGTGAAACGACTTCAGTATCTGCCTTTGACAAACAATACAAAATCGCACGGCTATTTGCTCCCTACTTTGGGTCATAAAAGAGCGGTTGGTGGCAGATGTGATGTTTCTTCGAATTACGTTAGCTTCGTGTTCCTGCGATTTGATTTCTAACTTATATTCCGTATTGTCTAATATAATTGGGCTTCTGTTCAAGCTGTTTAATTTTTAATGTAATTTGCCCAGTTAATAAAAGCAGAATATTTTATTCTCGTTTACATCACTCTTGTAGACAGGTATTCCATAACATTAAGGGAACACCCTCCTCAAAGAAATATATCCGAAACACTCAACCTTCACGTTACAGACAAGAGCGTACGCTTGAATTATCATCTAAAGGCCGCGCTTAAGAATACATCTCTTAATATATTTATACGAGTAGAAGTAACTAAGCTACAAATCAATTTCATAGCTAGGCAACTCACCTTAATTTGCTGGTATGCTTCCTTCGTAATTTTTATCACTATAAACTACCGCTATTATATTTCCCATCATGATTCATATGTACAATTATAAGCTTTGCGACTATCGTGCAGCAACGAAGAGAAACGTATAGGCTACCTCACGCAAAAGCTTTTGCCACCGCGTAACGTAATGACATTTTCATTGTACTAGACGGGAAAGCGTCCATGCGTGAGTGCATTTTTTTCATTTACGGCATTTCTTGGTACAACATCAGTGGTCCCAATGCACCGTACGAAACTACTTTTCCCCGTAACGAATAAAATATAACATGTAGCTCTTTTGACCAAATGAAATATACTATAATTTGTAGTAATTTTATCTTTAAGCATTTAATATTATTTTAGTCGACATAAGTTATCTTGTTGTGTTTACAACGTGAACACGTTGAACGCTTTACATTACGTCAATATACAACGTATCAAATAACATTGCGCAGTACGTCGAATACATAGAGAAAGATTATTTATAGAAAATTGAATAACGATTATAAAATAGTAAGTAGCAGACGTAGAGCGAATGAAAAGTGAGTTATATCTCGTTTATACAAAAAAAAACGACAATTTACAACAATGCTATATTATTGTTGCTTTGTGCTAATTCAGTCGGTCATTCTTATTTATCCAGCCAAACAATTTTACAGATCTACAGATTATCACTTTACATTACATGTTGAATTATTTAGTATATCTATCTGTACGAACTAGCCGCTGTCTCGAATCGTCCAGAAAAGGGAAAAAAGTTTTTCATTTCAAAATTTACTTTTATAGGTTCTACATACGAATAAGATATTCTGATTTTAAATGGGACTGTGCATATAACAGCGATCCAAACTTTACAAATATCAATTTCAAGAGGGCATAAACGTCATTTGTTATGTTTATATTTCACTCCGCCAACAAAATTACGTGAGATGGAGGTCATAGACCAGAACGCCTGTTCGTTCAAACGGTAAAATATGACGCAAATTCATTTTTTTCATCATGTTATGGAGTACGAGACAAACTTATGCATGTTCGATGATCGTTTAACCTGAAAGGGTATACGAAAGGATTAACACTGACGCAGGCAAAATTAGGCACAATTGGTGCGTGCTATGCATATTCAACAAAGTAAGAGTAGATAACGCATGGCAGTTATTGGCGATGAATTGATACAATGCTCCCGAGTTGAGTGTTCATAGTCATCAATATTAATTCACGAAGGTCCACCAATACGCGTCCAGGGATGGCAAACCTTTTTCAATGAATGGGTCAAAAATTATATTTTTATCGCGGAACAGAAGAGAGTGGGTCACAGATATTAAATCAATGTTTTATCTATAAGAAAGTTCTGAAACAAATCTTATAAGCTTCTGTTGGTGTTGGTGTAGTTTTGGGCTCTACTTATGCAGCATTTCTATAAGGGACTTTTTATGGCACTCGAATTTATGAAATTAGAGTACGAAAATACGCATATGAATTACAAAAAACGTTTAGGATGATGCGGCAAATTATTTTACGGTTCCAAAGAGAACTTTATTCTAATAGTGTTATATTTTTTGATCAGCCTTCAACTGTAGAGAATGTGCATTGTGTAACTATGGATTATAATGTATTTAACCCTTTCATTTTAATAGTGTGTTCCATTTCACACAATAGGTCATTTTTTCTGTCGCAACACTGATTACTGATTACATGTACTGCCTTTCTCAATTGTATTGACCAATTTGATGACGTTTCGTTCCGACTTGCCGAGAGGGAAGCATAATATCGTGTTTTGATTCACTTCTGATTACTTATTGATCTTAAGATCGGTAAGTATGTTGATAGGTATTTGTCTGTCTGTTTGTTTGTCTATTAGATGGACGCGATATCTCCCGAAGGTTGAATCTGCTCCAAATTTTGCATGTACATTCATCATATCTCGGACCAGAAGCCTATTGATTTTGAATGAATTATGTCGTATAATTGGCGAGTTATTAATTAATTAGCGATGGGACACGCGGTGTTACTATAGAGTCACGAATCGAAACCGCAGTTTCGATCGATAAGTCTTCGGTCTCAGACCGATATTCTCGATCAAGATCGATAAGTAATAACAGTACACAGCGGTTCCAACATGCGTCCCAGGTTAGGGGTTCTGAAAATTACCATACCGGCCCGAAAATCAACAATTTGGATATGAGCGATCGCAGCCTTGACTGCCCAACTGACGGTACATTATAATAGTTTAGCTATTGTTAGATTAATTTAAGGCCGGTTTTATCAATTTTTATCACTGATATGTTAGCATTTTTCGTGCCTAGGCGGGTCACGAATAAAACGCGTTGGGTCACTTTGTGACCCGCGGGTCAGTGGTTCGCCATCCCTGCATAGTCTACCGCTGTCCTCTGGAACTTGCTACAATGTTGTGGTCCAGTCCTGTTAAGAGATGAGTGAAATATGCTACGTTGATGTTTTTATTAAACACGAAATGGACCTATGGACCGGTTCGTCTTGATAATAATATGTTGTTGTTAGAATTTTTTTTCTTGTTATTATGAAAAAAATCGCCTTTTTTTCTAATTACTGGACCAATTGATTTGAAATTATCAGTGGTTAAATGTTGTTGCTGTTGCTATTACTTATATTTATTTCAAAACTTTCTGTGGGCTCTATGTGATTCGTTTTTTACTTTGAAATTGTGTGTGGTGACGTCATAAAAATTAAAAATTATTTGTAGCGTTCCAACGCCAGCGGATCTTGTGCTATGCGGAAGTCGAAGTTTTTTGACCGTACAGTACAACAGATTAAGTAAGGTAAGGTATTGTAAATGGCAGCGGGGGCGCGTCAATAGGGCAAACCGGGGCAATGCCCCGGTTGTTTTTTCGGTATAATAAAAAATATTCGAAAAATACCTCAATATCGGTTGCACAGACTGTCTACACTAGCCATATTCTCCCGACATGGTTCATTTTTCGCTCGCAAAGCCTTCGCCGATCGTCGACGGGGCGACGCCGATTTTGCCCCGGTTGCTCATTGTATATCGTATTCTCTCTTTTATCTTCCACTTGCCGCGTTTGTTTTCTGTTTTTGGACACGTAGTGGACATAACGATCGTTTCAATATTATGTTGTTGTTGTTCTTGTTCTTTGACACGTTTTTAAAAAGTCGCTTTTCTTTTCGAATACTGGACCAATTGCTTTGAAATTTTCAGTGGTTAAAGATTAATTTTTTCGCTAGAAGGCTATTACTTTTATTTATTTCAAAATTTTGCGTGAATTCTATGAAATTTGATATTTCGTCTAAAATTTTGCTGTATTATTTTTTATCCATGGGAACACGGATTTTAGTCAGTGTCATGACTGGCTGTACGTTTTGATTCTGCAAAATTCTTGCTACTGGAAATTCAGAACTTTATTGAGGGTACCGGTAGCGTCAAAGGTACCGGTAAGGACTGATTCGCTCTGGTCTGACGTGTCCATATATTTGTGCGTAGCTCTCTTGTTTTACTAAATCATCGGGGCTAGCCCCGAAATTATGACGACACAATGCCCACGTTTCTTACAACAACGTGTTGACATATTCAAGCATTCCTTCTCGTTCGTTGGTTGCTTGAAGAGTTGATAGTTTCCTCGCCTTCGTTTTTGTCGCTTGTTTCGCTATTTGAATCAGTTAGAGACCTTTAGTCCATTTGTTTTCGATTTTCCACATTCCTTTTGAGCTCCTCACTTCTTTCCGGCTTCGCATTTCTTAGCCTTAGACCTCATAATGAATAAGGTTGATGCACTACTTCGCACTCCGTTTTCGCAGCTGCCGCTGGAACAAAAATTAGAGGTACAGCGTCTTGGGCCTTATCAACCAAAAAATTGTTCACTGGAACAATCCCATGACGGAGGAAAGCGTCGGCGTACATTCTGCGCAGAAACTTGGTATAAAAAACACGAATGGTTGTGTTACAGCGAGGACAAAAATGCACTTTTTTGTTTTTATTGCCTACTTTTTGCTACCGCCCGTGACTCACGTTGGTGTAAATTTGGTTTTAGAGATCTTAAACATCTTTCCGAGCGTGCCAGGGATCATCAATCTTCTATGGAGCATCTGGACAATGCAGTAAAATACCGAACATTCGGAAATGCTAATATTGCAGCACAGTTGGATGAAGGACGCGCGGTTTCTATTCGTCGGCACAACCAAAACGTCGAGAAAAACCGCCATGTTCTCGATCGATTGATAGATGTTTTGAAGTTCATTGGTTGTCACGAGCTGTCCCTCCGTGGGCACGATGAACGGGCTGGCTCTTCTAATAGAGGGGTATTTTTGGATATGGTGGAATACACCGCATCCCTAGATACAGTATTGAGAGATCATCTTGATGCCGCAACTGTTTCGAAATGGACATCTAAGGATATCCAAAATGTTTATTCGACTCAATGTATAAAATTTGGTTCCATTACATTTGAATCCACGTACATTTGAACCCATGACAATTGCACCTGTATGCTATTGCACCTATGGAATTTTTTTTGTTTCACGGATAGTTAAACCCATACTAACCCTAACCCATGGGTTTTAGCACCCGCATATAGATTGAACCCGTGGATATACGCATGGGTTCAAATGTACATGGGTTCAAATGTACGGTTATCATAAAATTTATTTACAACATTTGGCTCTGGAAATTGAGAATCGGGCAAACAACGCAGCGTTTGATTTTGTCTGGAAAGGAATGCTGTGACATTCTGGTGAAACAAATAGGCGATCGTCTGCGCACTGAACACCTTGCCGCGTTCTCTTTGATGAACCCCAAAATTTTTTCAAAGTTTGCACGTCAATTTCCCATCCATTTGTTGGCTACTGTCTCCAAATTTTACCCCATGATAAACGTGGGTAAATTGAAAAATGAATTGCGATGTATATACACCAATCAAACTTTTTTGAACATCACATCAACTTGCGCGCTCTATGGGTTCCTCATAGATAACACTCTAGTACTTACCTTTGCGGCGTCTGCAAAATTT